GGGGGCGCAGAGCAGCTGAGGGCCACATCACATCACATCAAGCAGTGCAAAGCAACAACAGCACTGCGCTGTGTGCCAGAAGCACCCCCTGCCTGACCCGAGAGTGTACCTGCCTGTGGTGCTCTCAGCAGTGTGGGCACCAGTCTGTGAGGGGGAGCTCAGATGACCTCCCCCCTATCTGCTGTGCCAGTGCAGACCCAGCAATAAAAGCTCTGCAAGCAGAATGCAGCTCAGCCAGCACTGTGCCTGCCAACCACAGAAAGCAACAAGCAAAGCTATGAGCAGAAGAAATAAGCAGGAGTTTTGCTCTCACCACATGTATTAATACTACCCAAATACTTACGCTGCCCCAGCTGTGACCAGCCAGCACAAGCACAGCTCAGCATGAGCCCCCTGAGATGCTTCTCGCCGGGGGGACTAAATACAATTTGGGCAGCACATGGCTTTTTTTCTTTTTGATTCCACCGTTTGATCCAAAAAATTCCCTGGGAAGGTGTTTGGTCCTATGGACCAACTCAGCTCCTGATCTGCTTCTTGGGGCTGCCTGTGGCTCAGAAAAAGACTCTGAGGCTGGGTGCAGGGAAGGTGCCTCTGTCTGGAGGAGGAGTGCTGTGCAGCTGACCCAGGCTGTCTGTGCCCTGCTGGAGGGCCCAAGGGCAGCTCTTCACCAGGCAGCTCCAGGGTCTGGCTGTGAGGTGCCATCTGCTCAGAAAACCCAATGCCAGAAGAGTTTGGGCAGCCCTGGGCCATAACGCCCTGCACACTGCAGGGCTAGCATCCAGCTTCTCTGCAGCAAGAGGAAAAGCCACAGTGATGGGCCCTGCTCCAGCAAAAGGCCCATCCCAGGGCTGCACTAGACCAGGACCTGCCCATCACCGGCAGTGGAGCCACAGAGCTCAGTGCTGCCGTGAAAGCAGCCACCAGCTCACCTTTGCTCTTCTGCCACCTGCCTCCTGCATCACCAGGCTCGTACCTTCCCCTCTAAGGAGGCAGCCCCACACAGCCACGGACCCATCTTGAAAAGTTACTATAGAAAATAGATGCAGTTTTAAAGAGAAAGAGCAAAGACGGGCCGTTATCAGTAAAATAAGCTGCCATATATTTCCTCGTTGGTAAAAAGCAAGCAGCTTCACCTCAGTGCAGTTCCTGGCCATGCTGGGGGGGCAGACAAGCTGAAGGGACATCCTCATGCTGCCAGGGCATGAGGCCCTTCCCAGCCCCTCCTGCCCACACCAGATCTCATGTATCATTTAAGCCTCTTGTTCCAACAAAAAATAATAAACCAGAAGAGAGCTGCTGCTGGGTAAGCAACTGCAGGGACTTCTGGCAGGCCTGGCTGGCACAAAGCAGGTGCCTGACACAAAGGGGACAGGGGGACCTCGGTCTTCCAGCTCTAGCACGACTCAGCGTGGTGCAAACATGATGCTGGGTACTTCTGTGCTGCTAAGGGTGTCCCAAGGGTGGCTCCTGCAAGGCTGGGTATGCAACTGCAGGGAGTGCTGCATGGCTCTGCCACCGTGCAGGGCTGCTTGCAGGAGGGAAGGGCATCATCTGCACAACACCCAGCACTCAGACACAGGGCATACATCTTCTGAAGGTCAATTCAAACAGCCTGCACTGCTCCTGGGTACAGCCCCGCAGGGATAAACAATGGCCCCTTTGAGAGTCTGTTTCAAACAGCAGCAAGCCAAAACACACAGCCTTTACTGAAAGGTGAGCGAGCTGGAAGCTGAGCTGCCCATTCCTCCCTGCTGCTAGAACCCCAACCCCGGGGTGCAGCACTGCTCAGCTCTGTCCTCGCTGCACACACAAGATGTTTGACCATGCAGACACTGCCTGCATATGGAACCACACCACCCACGGCCCTTCTGCCATGGCCAGGGGTGGGAGCAGAGGGCACCTCAGCAGCATGGGGCAGGAAGGCTGCGTGGCCCTACGCCCTGCCATCTTCCCAGGGAATGAAGGAGCTCACCTCAGGGGGGAATCCGGCCTCAGTGCGTCGGCGGGAGGCGGCAGCAAACTCCTCCTACAGCAGCGCAGAGCCTGCCAGTGACGAGGGGAAAAAATTCGAGTGACTGAAGAAACCGACCATCTTTGGTAAGCAGCAGCGGTTGTTGACACTTCAGGATGTTCCGCTCCAAAGAATGCTGCCCCAGCCGCTGCCTTCTCCATGGCCAAGAACCTCCCTGGCTTTTATCACGTTTGTAACATTTTGTTCCAAAAAGGCATGCAGGGAGCGGAGCAGAGGAAGCCAAGGGGACCTAAAGTTTTCACGAGCAAAAAAGTTCCTCCGTCTCTGAGGAAAAAGAGCTAAATAAAGCATTTCTGCCTTCCGACAGTTTATTGCCTGAAGTTGCTCACAGGTCTCGTGGGAGATCTCTGGAGCATCACGCATGCATCTGGGTTTGGGCTCCGGCCGTCAGTAAGACCCGGGGGAAAAGCAGACGCTCCGGGAAGGAACGAACAGCGCCTCGAGACAGCGCGGGACGGGTCCCGGCTGCGTTCGGGATCGCTCCTCGCCTTCCCCCGGGGAACGCCCCGTAGGGGACGGGGACCCGAGCGGCGCTTCTCTCCCCGCGAGGGTCGCGGGGCTCCTCCCGCAGCGCCGCACCCCCGTCCCCCAGGCTGCAGCAGCGCGGTTGGTGCCCCCGGCTGTGCCCTCGTGCCCCGCAGCCCTCTCCCGAGCTGCCCTCCGACCCTGCCCCGCATCCCTCCCTCCCGCTCCGTCGGGGCCGCCCGGTTCCCTTTCGCCCCGCCGCCGCCCGGGGCTGCGGGCAGGTCCGGCCAGACGGCAGAACTCTCACCTGGGCCGGAGCGGGGCAGCTGCGGGACCGACGGCGCTGCTCTGCGCCCCCGGCCGGCGGCGCGGCCCTAGGCGCGGGCTGGGGTCGGGGCGGTGCCGGACCCCTCGTCCCGCCCCTCCCGGCCCGGCTCGGCCCATACAAGGCAGAAGAATGCGGCGGGGCCAGGGCGGCGGGGCGCGCTGTCGGCCGTACATAGAGTTAAGGACGGTCGGGAGGCCCACGCGTGGCCGCTGACCCAGGAGATGGAGGGGGCACCCACAGGTGATCCCAGCCCAAGGCTCGTGGGGGCCCCGACGGCGATCCAGGAGGATTTGCCTTGTTTCCCCGGGGCCAGAACTCAGCTTGCGGAGGGGTGAGGGTGAGCGGGACGAAGAGCTGATGAGCTGTGGTTTACATCGAGCCGCAGCCCTTACCCTCCCACCGGGAATCGCCGCTCTGGGGCTGCGCGGCTGTGGGGCTGCGCAGTCTGTGCTGAGCCTGAGCTCCACGTGGGGCCTTCCCGAAAAAGTTTGCCTTTTAAAGAAAGGAAAAGAATAAAAAAGGAAAGAACATATCTCAGGAGGCAGAGAGCTGAGCTGTAGCCCCATGCTGCTCCCAGGGGTTTTCCGTGCATCCGCCCGAGCACAGCGATGTCTGCGCAGCGCCCGGCAGCCCCAGCTCCCAGCAGCGAGCAGCCATTGCACCCCGGGGCAGCTCTTCACACGCTGTGCAGCCTCTGCAGTTGGGTGCACACAAAGGGCTGCTGTTGGGATGCCCAGCACACGTTCCTCTTCCTCCCTTCCAGCCTTTCCCACCTTCCCTTCTCACAGAGCCTCCAGCTCCCTGTATGTCCTCCTCCTCTGACTAAATGTGTGCCGCGGCAGGGAGCCTGTTTCTACTTCCACATCTTCTTCTCTCACCTCTCTTCTGCCTCTTCCTTGTTTTTTTCCTGCTATAATTTCACTTGGTTTTCTCTCTGGGGGCAGTGGGTCATGGAATGGAGCTGAGGTAAAACCAGGCAGTCTTTTAGCACATTAGTTTTAGATCAATTTAGATGCAAGTGTCCCATCATCACACAAATGCTTCCACCCCTGCAAATTGGCTTTGAGCAGGAGCATGGAGTCAGGGATGCTGAGACTCCTTACAAGCCAAGGACACAGCCCAAAGTCCTGTTGCCCTTCAGACATGGCCCCTGATGTGCTCAGTGCTCCTCTCATTGAAGGGTGAGGGCAGAGCTGGCTGCCGTGCCTCAAACGTCTGAGGAGCCCCAGGGCAGCAGGGTCAGAGCAGCCTTCAGCAAGGGACTCTGTCATGGTAGGTGTCACATGTGAAGGTTCCTATGGGAGATACAGCACGGGTCCCCTTCTGTCACATGTCACCCTCATCATAGCCCAGTGTGAGTCCAGTGATTCGGACCAGCCTCTTCAACTTGCAGCAAATGCCTCAGAGCATGCAGTCAGGGGCCTGGCAGATAGCTGAGGCAGTGCTGGGAAACCCACAGGTACATTGCAAAATTGGTATTTGAATGACATGGCAGCAGCTGGAAGGAACAACAGTCCGGGACGTGGACTCCTCTGCCTGTGCAGGAGCTCAGTGGCCTGTTGCCAAAGTCAATAGCAAGGGGGCTGCTGCTGCAGTGCTTTGTCTTACAAGCAGAAAGCAGCCAGGCTCCCAGAATGCTGAGTCAAGCACGTGCTGGTCTGCGTGACAGAAAAACGCAGGGCCTTAGGGACACTGTTTGCTAACGGAGAAATGAGTGAAGCACTGAACTTCACTGCGAGTGGGGATGTGCGTGGACGGGCAAGTAGGGCTCAGCTCCCGAGGAAGGATCTGCGCAGCGCTGGGGCGGAGGCGGCAGGTCGAGCTGCGAGGCCGGGCTCTCCCGGCGGCCCCGAGGTGCCCGCACGTGCAGGACACGCGGCGTCCGCAGCTGGGTCCCGGGCCGCGGCCAGCCCGGCCAGCTCCGATCGCTCCGTCGAGATCGCGCCGGTTCCGGAGCGCCCCGGACTCTCGGCGACCCGCAGGACTCAGCGCCGGGCCGTAAGAAGCGCCGGCTCAGCACCGCCCGCCCCGCGCCCGCGGCGTCCCGAGGCGAAGCCCCGCCCCGCGCCGTGAGCCCTCTCGCCCGCCGTAGGAGGACGGGGCGCCCGCTTTGGTCACGTGTCTCCCGGCAGCGCGGCGATTGGCGGCCGCGGGGCGCGGGTGAGTGACGGCGCGCGGCGGCCGCTTCCGGGCCGCGCGGGGCCGCCGGGCGGGAGGAAAAGAAAGGAAAGGAAAGGAGGGAGGATGAGCGGCGCGCGGCGCAGGGAGGAGCCGCCGCACGCGCAGCAGCACGCGTTGGCCAACGGCGGCGGGGCCGGGCCGCGCGGCTCCGTGTGGGGCAAAGCGCTGCGCAGCGACTCCGCCTGGCACGACAAGGTGCGCGGCTCGGCCTTGCCGGCGGGCGGGGGGCCAGCGTTGGGCGGCTCCGGGGAAGCGCCGCTGTCCGCCGTCCCGCGGCCTCCCGAGCTCCGCCTCCGCGCTGTCGGGGTCGGCGTTCCGGCCGTGCGGCCGTCGGGGAGCCGCTCCGGTCTGTGGGGCGCGGAGCGGTGTGTGGCTGCTGGAGGCGGGACTGTGGCTTAGCCGCTGTCCGAGGATTGACGAAGAAAACAGGAGCCGTGTTTCGCTTTCTCTCCTCAGGACGAGTTCTTAGATGTCATCTACTGGTTCCGACAGATCATCGCGGTTATCCTGGGAGTCGTCTGGGGGGTGGTTCCTCTGAAGGGCTTCGTGGGGATCGCAATGTAAGGCTCCTTCCCTTTTCTGCCCCGTGCATTTCCCACGTTTGGTCCCGGCTTCCTGTTTGCTTGCAGCCTGTGCTGTGAGTGCAGCCGGGTGCAGCCCCTGCGTCTGCCCTGTGTCTCAAACCCGGCATTGCGTTCCGGGCTGCTGTTTGTCAGGAGATTCAAACCATAACACCTTCATCAGCTCCTTTCTCTCTCCTTGAGTTAACACCTTTTTTTACTTCCTTTTTCATTTCTTTTAGCATTATTAAAGAAAGCAGAGGTGGAAGGAGCTCAGCTGACTTGTGAGGTGTCCTATCTGTGTGTGTGTAAACGGGGGCTTCAGAGAAGTAACAGGAAAAGCTGGGGAGTCTCTTTGCAAATGTCTCTGCTTAATTAAGGCCTATACAAACAACTCTCAGCTCTGGAGCTTTTCTTGAGAAAAATGAAATGACCTGCCCTAGCTGTGTTAAGGAGATGGAGGGAGTGTTGCCGTGTGCCTCTAAAAAAACCCTGAAGTTTGGAACTTACAGAAATGCACTGCAGGACAACAGTGCTTTAATAGAAACAGTAGCTACATGCAGTTACATTTGAAGTGCTCTTGGTAATAAATGGGGAGGAGTTGGGAAGCATTGCTTGTGCTCAGTCATCCATTTATTCCCAAGGCGTCTTCAGGTGCATGCGCCCATTTCTGTGCTACGTGTTAGAAATAAAAACATGGTGTAACTTGGGAAACTAAAAGTTTCTAGAATCGTGCGTGCAGTTGCTCTATGATATGTGGTTGAGCAGCTGCTTGCAGCTTGCTGCTGGTCTTTGAATCTGTGTGTCTTCAAGTAGGGCTCTTCCTACAGCTTTCTTTCCAGGACACGAACTTGTCTCTTGCCAGGCTGTCTCAGCCTGAAGTTAGAGTAATATAAGGCCAAACTGGTCTAAGAACAAATGGAAGGTCTCATTTTTTGTCTCCATTGTCTTCTAACACTCCTCCCTTTGGGCAGCCTCAAAATCAGTGTGTGCAAGGAAATGGGATTCTGTATTGGGAGCAGGACTATTGCTGATCTGCAGTAGAAGACAACATGCAGGATTTGCAGATCTGCTGATATTTCCAGCTTCTGATTACTGTCTGTTAAGCCTTAGTTGCTGTAAGTTGTGCCTCATGAAGTGAACCTCATCCAAACCCAGCATGCTGACCTGGATGGGCTCTTGTAAGGAAGACACAGCTGTCAGTGTAAACTTATAGGGATAGTGCTCCCTTTTACCTCTTCTCTGCTGACATTTCATGTGTTGCTGTGTGGCATATTGGATGTGCTATGGAAAATGATGATTCCTAATCTTTCTTCCAGATTCTGCCTGATCAATGCTGGTGTTCTGTACCTCTACTTCAGTAGCTTCCAACAGATAGATGAGGAGGAGTACGGGGGGACATGGGAGCTAACAAAGGAAGGATTCATGACATCTTTTGCACTATTTCTGGTAACATCTCTTGCTTTCTTTAAGTTGGTTTGTGAATCGTGTTGGTAAACTTTCTGAGGGTCTGGAAGAAAAGCAGGCAAGCCGGGGCACTGATAGAAAAGAGATGTGTTAACGTCATCTGATAAATGGGATTGATGGGAAGGAGAGTTGCCATCACTCTCCTTCCTCAGGTGCCTGAATGCGTACACAACTCAATGTGGTGATGTTTCTAAATTGCTGGAGAGACTGTGGTGGGATTTATTGTAGCTATATTAATCACTCTGGGAGCCAAGCGAGATGAATGGCACCATTTGTGGTGCGTGGAGATCCCAGTGCCTCTCTGATGCACTCTCAGAACTGGAATTCAGACCCCCATCAGTGAGGCATGAACTTGTTGTCAGTGTTCAAACCCTCTCCAGAGGCACGAAAACAACCTTCTCTTCCTTTCTTCTCCACAGGTTGTTTGGATAATCTTCTATACTGCCATCCACTATGATTGACGCAGTCTGCAGCTTTTGCCTGTTAAATCTGTTGTCAGTAAATCAAGAAGGTTTTAATAAATCGTCACCTTTAGCAGACTGGTGGGAAGGCTGGGGAAGTCCAATCAAGTTCCTTCTGATTAGCGTGGAAGAGCCCCACACCTTCTGCTGGAGTAGCCAGTCTGACTCCGTTTTATATACCCGTTAATTATTGGAACTATTAAAAAGCCATTGGAATTCTTGGAAGCGGTTCAAGACTGTTCAGGTTTTCAACTTTCTGCGACTCTAGCCTGTAACTGTATCAAACTCCTGTATGCTGAAGATCGAATCCGTTAACTTAATGTATGTATGCCCTGTATCTGGAATCTGTCATTACGTTCTGACGTGTCTTCCATTGTTCTCCTTTATGCAGACAGGTTTTTAAAAAGAGATTGCAAGGTTGGTGGAAGGAACGCCCTGCAGCACCAGAATATGAGTTCAGTGGCTGCCCTCAGCATTTTTTGTAATAATCAGATCTGATTTGATTAAACAGACTGTGTTGGTACAATTTCTCATAGTTTGTTTTACTTGCTAATCATTTGTTCACCAGAATTTTCAAATAGTCCTTGCTGAAGACAAATTTTTAAGCAAGTTTGCTAGAAAGAGCTGTGATTAATGCTGTTAATGAACGTTTAACCTAAAACATGTTCTGGAGGCTTGGAAACACCACTGCATTTTGCTGGCCTGATTATGAAATTGCCAACACTTACCTCAGAGCTCAGTGGTCTTGAGGAACCATCATTATGCAGGTGCACTTGGAATGGTATGCATTTGAATTCTACTTTTTCATTTGTTTTTAAAAGCTTCTTTTATTTCAACCAGCTTCAGATGTTCTTTGTTAATAAATGCAGGAGACTAACACAATCGAGGCAGCTAACATCTTAAATGTATAACTACTAATTTGCGAATCAGGCAGATTCAGTGAAGCACATAGCCTCTGGATTGCAAGGTGCTCTCTGAGTTGGTCACACCACAGCTCAGTTCCTTCCTATTCATGCCCTTTTAATGCTTTGGTGAGGAGTCTCTGCTTTGAAAGTATTTTTAAGGACCTGTATTTCACAGTAGTGACTGAGAAATGCACAATCCTTGTTTATGCCTGAGGACTTTGCAGCCTAGCTGCCATGTGGTTCTTGTTTTTATAAACCACAGCCCATTTGTCCAAAAGGAATCCTGACCTAAAGCTGCCTTGTAGCAAGGAGCTGACGGTTTTAGCATGCCCTTGGTGGAAGTCTGTGTTGCTTTCTTGGTGGAAGTGCAGCAGCTCGGTTCTTGCATATGAATATGCAAATCTGGGAATTTGATTATCCAGCTGCTGAGCTGGGGCTCCAGAACTGACCCACCTGTGCAGGTGGCTTTCCTTTACCAGGGAGAATGCTGGCTGCTCTCAGTGGAGAAAAACATCCCTGAGTAACTTAGGTCTTTGTGATGCTGAGGGAACAGTGCAATAGCAAGCAGCTTCTGCTATGTGTGAGTTGCCAAATTAAGTAAATGATCTCAAACAAGAGCTACATTTGCTCCTCTCCGTCCCCAAACTTGCTCATCCTTTTAGTCTGCTGCTTTTTTTTCCTTCTTACTTCAGCTGAAAGCATTAATTTCCCATGATGATTACATAGCCTGCTACTATTTAGTCACTCTTTGCTACTGGCATCTGTTTGCAGCCATCGGGAGAATCACTGTATACATGAAATGCTCTAATAAATGTCACCTGGATAACCTGCTGTGCAGCTTCTGTATCTTCTGGTCTTTGAAGTTTTGCAGAATATTGGGAAGCTGAGATTCCTTTAAGAGTTTGAATTTTAGTAAATATCTTAGCCAGCAACTCTTTGGGTTTTTAAGTCTCTTGTGCTGCAGGCTCGACTACTGTGCTTTCAAGAGACAGAAGCATCTGTAGTGGAAGTGGTACCCAATGCTCACATCCACACTTTAAGAAGCAGGATAAACCAAGCGCTGCCCCTGTATAACCTATGCTGTCCATTCAGGCCTGAGCACGCTTGCTCTGTGCTCTTGATTTCTTGCAGGGCTGGTGACTGAATGACTGCTGGGAGCCTGTGCTGCCACAGGGCTGCAATGTGGAGAAAAAGCTGAGCTGGGCTGTGAGAGCTGTGGCTGTCAGCGTGCAGTTCCATAAGCAGACTGCATCCTTGTGCGATCCTGTGATGATGCAGAGGAGGCTGTGCTGCTTACAGGCTCTGGGAGGCTCACTTGCTTTGTCCCTATAGGAACATGGCTTTGGCTCTCGACTAGAAGCAGTGGTTCCTGGCAGGAAGGAACACGAGGAAAGTTTTCCCTGTCCTAAGCTCATTCTGAGTAGAGGAGCAAATGCATTCTGGCGTGGCGCTGGCAGAAGAGTTTCTTGTGGTCTCTCTTCTGGGCTGTCAGACCCCAGCTACAACAGCTGTTGTCGGGGTGGCATAGCTCTGCAGGGATTACGACTGGGCACACGGCACAGCGTTTATTTGTCGGTTTGGTCCAGCAAGGGAGCTCAGCTGATGTCACTTTCTTAAACAGAGCCTGGGATGGCCCTAAAGCAAGTGGTCTCTGTTAAGGCTGGAGCGCAGCGCTGAGGTTTCAGGCTCTCTGTGTGCCTCACGGAGGTGCACCTGCATTCCCCCAGCCTGATTTCATAGAACAGAATCATAGAATCACAAGGTTGGAAACGACCCGCAAGATCATCTAGTCCAACCACCTTCCCATTCCTATTAGTACGACAAGTTACTAAACCATTTCATAACTCCTCATCCAGGCGCCTCTTGAACACTGCCAGGGACGGTGACTCCACCACCTCCCTGGGCAGCCACTCCAGTGCCTGACCACCCTCTGAGAGAAAGTTTCTCCTAATGTCCAACCTAAACCTCCTCTGGTACAACTTCTGGCCATTTCCTTGGGTCCTACTATTTGCCTGGGAGAAGAGGCCAGACCCTTTTTCATCACAACCTCCCTTCAGGAAGTTGTAAAGTGCCATGAGGTCTCCCCTAAGCCTCCTCTTCTCCAGACTGAACAATCCCAGCTCCCTCAGCTGCTCCTCTTAAGAGTTGTGCTCCAGACCCCTCACCAGTTTCGTTGCCCTTCTCTGGACACGCTCCAGGCCTCAATGTCTTTCTTGTAGTGAGGGGCCCAGAACTGAACACAGCACTCGAGGTGCGGCCTCACCAGAGCTGAGTACAGGGGATGATCACCTCCCTGCTCCTGCTGGCCGCACCATTTCTAATGCAGGCCAGGATGCCGTTGGCCCTCTTGGCCACCTGGGCACACTGCTGGCTCATGTTCAGCCGAGCATCAACCGACACCCCCAGGTCCCTTTCCTTTCCACACTCATCCAGCATTCAGCCCAAGCTGGTTGTTGTGGCCAAAGTGCAGGACCCGGCACTTGGCCTTGTTGAACCTCATTCCATTCACCCCAGCCCAGCGATCCAGCTTATCCAGATCCCTCTGCAGGGCCTCCCTACCCTCAGGCAGATCCACACCACCTCCCAGCTTGGTGTCATCTGCAAACTTACTCAGGGTACACTCAATCCCTTCATCTAAGTCGTCAATAAAGATATTAAACAGGATGGGCCCCAGCACCGACCCCTGGGGGACACCACTTGTAACGGGTCTCAGCTGGACTTCACTCCATTGACCACCACCCGCTGAGCACGGCCCTCCACCCAGTTCCTTATCCAACGGAGGGTAAAACTGCCCAGGCCACGGGCAGCCGGTTTCCGCAGAAGGATTCTGTGAGACAACGGCTTTGCTGAAGTCTCGCACGGGCCGCGCTCGCAGCCCGCTGGGGTTCATCTGCGGAGCCTTGGCGAGGTGCCGCCGGCAGGGAAGGGACCCCTCCTGCGGGCGGAAGGCCGCAGAGACGCGAAAACGGAGCGGGCCGAGGCCGGCTCGCAGACGCGTTCCCGCGGGCGGGCGGTGACCGGTTACCAGCCGGCAGCGCCCAGGGGCCGCTCGGGCCGCTGGCGGGCGCGAGCAGAACGGCGCGGAGCCGCGCACCGCCGGCGCCGCAGAGCGAGCCGAGCGCCGGGCCGCGGGCCGACGGCGTGCGGCTCCCGCCCCGTCCCGGGAGCGGCTCCGCCCCGGCGGAGGCTGCGGCGCGGCCCGGCCCCTTCCGGCGGCGCGGGGCGACGGGGCGGGATGGCGGCGCCCGAGGCGGAGGCGGCGGGGGGTCGGCAGCGCGCGCTGGGCGCCTACTCGCCCGTGGACTACATGAGCATCACCAGCTTCCCCCGGCTGCCCGAGGAGGAGGCGGGCGGCGCGGCCGAGGGCGGCCTCCGCGCCCGGAAGGAGGAGGACGCGTTCCTGGGCGAGCAGGACACGGGTGAGGGGCGGCGGCCCGGCCCCGGCCCCGCATGCTCCCGGCCCCGCCGCGCCCGCGTCCCGGGACCCCCGCGCTGGAGGGCGGCCCGCTCCACCCGCCCGTCCGTCCGCGGTCACCCCGGCGGCCGCCCCCTCCCTCCCCCGCTCCGCCCCACGGCGGCGTCGGGCAGCGCTGCCCCACGGCCGCCCTTCGGAGCCGCCGCGTGTCGTCCCCTCGTCCCGCGGGGCTCCGTCACACCGCGGCTCGGTGTCATTCATCCTCCGCTCGTTTCCACGTTCCACATGCCCACCGCAGACGGGCTGGAGCTGCCCTGACAGCCCGTGCCAGCAGCAGGCGCGAGGGTTTTGCAACGAGCCGGCGCTCCTCCTTGCCGGATGCATGGCTTTAATAAAGTCAGGTGTTCTTTTTATGCTTGTGAAAACCTTTTGTCTTTTTTTTTTTTTAATTTATTACTTTCTTGTAAGTAGTCAGAGTCCTGTTTTTTTCTCCTCCATTTCATGTTTCTGCAAGCAATGGAATCCATCACTGCATGAGGTCCCCAAAGGCCCCACCACGAGGTGGTTTCCACAGCCCCGAGTTCTTCCTTGTGTGCACCCCGGGCCACAGTTCACTGCCACGGGGCTGCGCTGTCCCCTGGGCCTGCTCCCAACCCAATGGCTCACAGGAAGGTTTGACTATGAGGACTGGTGCCTGCTCACAAATGGACACACAGCCCAAGTGCACGCTGCTCCTGGGCTGCTGTGTCGCCTGCAGATGGACCTTAGCCCTGCTCACACTTTGTGGCCTCACTGTGAACCCTGAGTGCAGTTTCCATCGTCTGTTGCCATCCCATTCCCCGCAGCACCCTTTGCCTTTGGACGTGGTGAGGCGAAGTTTGGCAGGGGTGATGCCAAATCTCTCCTTTTGCATGGGGGGCACGAGCGAGCAGAGATCTGTGTGGGGGTCCCGTTGGTTGTGTGTCTCCACCAGATCCCCAGTGCCACCTGGAAGAGCTGCATGCATCTCCTGTGCTGCCACGTGGAGCCTCACACTCATCTGATGTTGTGTGTGTGTCTTGCAAAAACCATCCATGCTTCTTCATATCACATCATCTGCCAGGCTCCTGGGGCAGGGAATCCAGACCTTTGGGTTCTGCAGCACAGAAGGCGTTGCTAACAGGTGTCCCTGTAGTGCTGGTGGGTACAGGGATAACCACCTCGGAGGACTGAGGTGTCCCTTACTGCAGTGCGTACCTGCAAGCAGCTCCAGCCTCTGCTGTCCCCACCACAGCATATCCAGAACTGAGTTGGGCCTGTGTCCCCATATGCTGGTCTCCACATAAAACCAGGTCTGCTTCACGGCTTCTCTGAGAGTCAGGTGGGGTCTGAGGGCCAAGGAGGGTGAATGTTGGTGCTGGTGTGTTCTGTGACTGGACCAACCCCCTGCACCGAATCATGGCAATGCTGTCCCAGCATAGCACTGTGGCCATGCAAGATGAGCAATTGCCCAAGGCCCTGTGGGACATCTGTGACACCCCTCAACAGGGTGTCCCCACCACCCCCAGGAACGCCACTGCATGCTGCAGCCGTGCCTGCTTGGACCTGCTCACCTGGGAGCTCCTGGCTTGGAGCGGTACGGTGCCTTGTGGGGATGGGAATGCTGTGATGCCCAGGGTGCTGAGCCAGCCTACCCCTCAGAGCCGATGTGAGCCGAGAGCCAAGGCATGTCTCAGACCTTTTGATCATCCTGAGCTTTGCTTGCTGCCCAGCAAAACTCTTTCCCATTGCGTTCACCACCATGAGGCTGAGCATTCAGCACCCTGCTGGATCTCAGTGAGCCTCGTCAGCCAGAGGAAGGGAAAGACTCACACACAGCCTTGCCTGCAGCCAGGGACCTGCAGAGGTCGCATTTGCAGGCTTGCTCTTTTCTGCCCCCACTTCATCAAGAGTCAGTGAATGTGTTTCCTGTGCCTCAATCTGTTTTGCTGAGGTGCTGAAGTACAGCACCTCATATGGCTGCTGCCTTTCTAAGTTGGAATGTTCAGTTCTGCTGCATTTCTGAGACCTGTTTGCAAGTCAGTGCTGTGTTAGAACCCATCCAAACAGGGCAGTAATCATGGGTCCGCCCCTAAAGAATGATGAGTGGGGAAAAATTCAGTTTTTTCCCCCCTCTTAATCTCCAGGAAAGTAATCTTGGGATAGCTTGAGCTAAAGGAAGGGAACAATAAAAAAAACCCAGAGCGACATCTGAGCCAGAAAGTCTATTGAGAGCTCATACCAATAGGGAAAGTAATAGCCCTGCTGGATGTGGCATGGTGTAATACTAGTGCCAGGTAAACTGTGCAACAGGAGCCCCGTGTTGCTCAATTGCTAATTCTTATTGTCTCCTTGCTGCCCACAAAGACCCAGACTCCTTCCTGAAGTCTGCACGCCTCCAGCGCCTGCCCTCGTCCTCCTCGGAGATGGGCAGCCAGGATGCATCCCCGCTGCGAGAGACCAGCAAGGACCCCTTCTCTGGAGACTGCAGCTGCCGGCAGGACGGGCTGACCGTCATCATCACTGCCTGCCTCACCTTCGCCACAGGGGTCACGGTGGCCTTAATCATGCAGATCTACTTTGGAGACCCTCAGGTAAGACAAAGCAGTGGCTTTGCAGCATGCTGTGGGTTTTGGCTTGGGACATGCACGTTCCCTCACCTCCCTTCTTGCCAGCAGATTGGCCCTAGCAGTGTCAGTGAGACTCCGGTGCTGAATATGCAACCCTACCCGCAACCGCCTGAAAGCTTTCCCATGTTGCTGCTGTCAGGGCTGAGCTCTCGCATGGCACAGGCATCTGTGCCCAATGGAGCTGGGGATCCTAGGGGCAGCAGGCAGCCCTGCTGCTGTGTGCCCAGCGGTGTCCAAGCTGGGTGTGAATGCCTTTTGAGAGCAGTTCTCTGAGCAGCGGAGGCACCTCTCCCACAACTCCACCTGCAGAGTTTTAGGGATCCTTATGTGAGAGCCTTTCTCTGGCAGGCTCCGTCCAGGGGAATTGCTGAGATGAGAACCACACCTCCTGCTGCCCCCTCATGTGGGGTGGTGCAAAGCAAATGCAGTGTGGTCATGGGGTCACACCGTCTCCTGGAGAAATGTGCTACAGAACATTTCCCGCTGCAGCCTGAATGAGAATGGCCACGAGGCACCCTGTGGTCACGGCCACCATCCCACGTCCCACACAGCAGGGCGGATCTGGCTGCACATTCAGGAATGGGAGAGCTTTGCTCTTTTCAGTTTCTTGCACTCTTAATGGCATTCAGATTGCAGCTCCACGCAGGCAGAGAGGTGGGCAAACCTCTTTCCATTGGCAGCTCTTCCAGCGTGGAGCCGTGGTGACGGACGCTGCCCGCTGCACAGCACTGGGTGTCGAGGTGCTCGGCAAGCAGGGCTCCTCGGTGGACGCGGCCATCGCATCAGTGCTCTGCGCAGGAGTGGTGAACCCCCACACCTCAGGCATCGGCGGGTAGGTGCCAGCTGCTCCCGTGTGTCCTCCCAACAGGGTCTGGCCCCACAGAGAGGGACAGAGATCCCTGTATCTACAGTAGCAGCAGCCAGGACAGTTCCAGACATGGGCTGGAGAGGGCTGGGAAGCGCTTGGGTGCAGCTGAGCCCCTGTGCAGGGTGCCAGGAGCTGGCAGCACTCAGGCCTTGGCCCGGTGCCTGCAGATATCCAGCACTTCTCTGGGTAGGCTCTGCTCCTCGCCAGCTGGAGCCCAACCTCTAGCCCAGCTGGCCCCATTTCCCCTTTGCTCCCGATGTCCCTGACCTATGAGAGGTGCAGGACATTGCACAAACCCACTCCACAGCACCTCCAGGCTGGGCAGGACATTGCAAGTAAACCCCCTCTTTTGTTGCAAACCAGCCAGGATTAGAAAGAAAATCCCATGCAGTCCAACCTGGTGGTGGAACAGGGCCAGCAGCCCTCTGGCCATGCTGGCAGGCACTGATCGGCTTCATCCCCGATGAGGATCTGCTCTTTGCGTGGGCTTCACAGCAGTGGTGGCAGTGGGGACAGCCGATGCCATGACTGACCCCGTTCTGACCACAGGGGTGGGGTGATGCTGGTCCATGACATCCGGAAGAACCAGAGCCAGGTGATCGACTTCCGTGAGGTGGCTCCATTGGGCATCCCGCCGGGTGGCGATCTGCTGAAGGACACCAAGGTGAGGAGTCCTCCAGCAGGACCGGGTGGGCTGGGGCCCTCTCGTTGGTCTCTCAGTGTGAAAGAGGCCCAGGGAAGTGACAGGAGGCCACCATGGAGGCCCTGTGAGCATGGGGAGCCAAGGGAAGCCCTTCTGCATCACCTCCAGAAGACCTGGAGCCTGCAGGGCATGGGGAGCAGAGAGGCTGGTTGGGGCAGGGGCAGGGAGCGAGGCAACTTCTGGCAGCGGTGATCTGGGATGTGCCATAAGGGAACAAGGTCCCCTGTCATTCGGATGGGTTATTTCTCCTGACCAAATTGGATTGACGCTGGGATTGAAGTTTCCTCATGTCCTTCCAAAGACTTGTTTCCTAATTTAGTGTCCTGCCACAGACCTTTTCCACTTTCCTTAAAGACCAAACACTTTCTATGTGAGCATTACTCGCAGCTCCTCGACTTGAAGCCAGGGGCCCTGCATTTCACTCTTCTTTTCACCTTTCCCTTTCTACAGCCAGGTTTGCTCGTGGGGGTGCCAGGCACACTACAAGGCATGCACCGGGCACACCAGCTGCACGGCAGGTAAGAACCCACCCTGCACACACTGTACCCCAGGCTCCCTCACAGCCCCTCTCCATCGGAGCATGCTCTCAGCTGCCAGTCAAAACCATCAGCTAACAGGTGCTCAGAGGCTCATGCTGAAAAGCACACCCAAGTTTTGGTGCTTTATTTAACAAAAGAATTCGGCTAGGTCAGGTTTTCAGCACAGTGAAATTCTTTCACGTGCTTACCAAGAAGATGGACAATTAATGTTTTCAGAAACATGTGAATAACATTTTTGTGCATTTTCATGCATTCTCAGCTGGACCCTGAGAAATGTAGTCATGCTTGATGCTCTGCTAGAGCAGTGAGAGAAGGAGTACGAATAACTTGCTCATGGATGTGACATTTTGCTCCATTTCCCTGTCTTTGCACTGATGTTTTCCTTTGGGGTACATCATGAAACCTGCTTGAAAGAGACAACCCACTAAAAGCACTAAAAGCCCTGTGCTTGTTTTGGCCACTGCTAGCCCTGAGCCCAGCTTGCTGAGAGCTTGTCTGCCCCACCAATCCACATGAGCACATGTCTCCTTGGCTGCCCTCCTTTTTCAGGCTCCCCTGGTCACAGCTGCTGGGCCTCGTGGCTGCCGTCGCTCAGGACGGATTTAACATCACGCACGACTTGGGTGAGCACATGCTGTGGAGCTGAGGTGGCACACAGCACAAAGGAGCCCACCGTGAGGGTGGCTTCTTGCAGGGCTTGGTCCAGGTTAGGTGGTTGTGCGTGGGAAATCAGAGTGCCTTGGGGCTGGGAACGGGTGGTGGCGGGAGCAAGACAAAGCAGGGGTCTGCAAGAGGTGTGTAGTGACAGCAAACCTGGAGCCCTTTGTCAGGGCAGTGAGCAGGTGGCAGGGTTTCTTTGGATTTCCTTCCCAGCTGCAGCGGGGTGTGATCCATCCCTTGCATTCTGGTTCTCTGGTTTGGAAACAGGGCAAGAGACAGCAGCAAGTTCCTAGGTCCCCTGCACATTCATGCATCCTGGGGTTTCTGGATGTCCCTCCTCTGCCCCTCTCCTTCTCTCCCACAGCCAAAGCTGTGAGTGAGCTTAAAGACCTGAACTACTCCAACAAGTTTCGGGAGACCTTCCTTCCGGATGGCCAGCCTTTGTTGCCTGGCATGTTTGTGAGGCGCCTGGACCTCGCAGCTGTCTTGGAGCTAGTGGGAGCAGAAGGGACTTCAGCCTTCTACAGTGGAAACTTGAGCCAGGAGATCATCTCTGAGGTGAGCCCCGTCTGCTAGCTACACCTGTTGCTAGTAGTGCTCTCAAAATATAGCAATGGCAAACAAAGCAAAAAACAACCCAACCTGCTCTGGCCACAGTGACAGCTACACAGATTTTCACTAGCGTGCTAAGAGCCCGTTCGTGTAGTCAGTGCCGGAAACCTGCTTCTGTACCTCGGTAGCTGCAGTCAGGGTGGCTGTTGGCACCATTTTTCCTGGCTACCATTGTTCACGTGATGCTCCTTCAGTGTATTTTTAGTAGTCTGGGATGGGTTTGTTCAGCTCAATCCTTAGATAGGAGCTGTGTGTTAGGAAACCTTCTCCGCTGGTTCACATGAATGAGGACTAGGAAGAGTCCCAGGCTGGTGGTGCAGGGAACCCCAGCTCTGGGACTGCAGCACAAAGAGCCCAGCAAGCTCTGGGATCAGGTGATCTATTCCAGATTTAGTTACAGAGCAAAGTGCTGGCTTCCCACATCAGCTTCACAGTGTTTATTGTTTCAGTGAAGGGAGGGGTGGAAAATCACCCAAGCACACCCCTTTGTTTCAATCCTGAGGTGGGAATGCACAGGCACAGAGTAGTGCTCTCCAGGGAATGCTCTGAACGTGCTAACACCTGTACCATGACTAAGAGCGTTACTTGTGCCAGGAGACTTTAAGGCCAGCAGAGTGCTGTTATGATGGCCCTAACTCATCTCCATCGTAATTCAAGCACTGAGGACCTGCAGTGGAGGGAATTACCCACCTTTACTGCATACATGAAAATTACCAACCCAGAGAAAAAGACCAAGGGTACAGCAATCCCCCCTTATCACCTGCTATAATTAAAAATAGGGTGGAAATCGGGAGCTAAAGCTCTCTCTTGGTGGAGATCTGCTGCACCCACTGTCCTTCCTGGCATTATTCAGACACTTCATAACCTTTAGTGTATTCATCCTTGCCACCCAGAGAAGGCTGTAAGGCAGTGCTCATCCCCTCCTGGTGGGTAGGCAGAACTTCTGCAGGTTGCCATGGGTTCGGTGGGCTTTTGAAGATGAGCTGCAGAGCTTTCCAGTGCTGGTGAATGGTGAGCCAAGCCACCAAGGCCATGAAAGTACACATTTTCAGGGCATCCTGTAGAACGTGGCTCAGGGGTCTCATGTTAGTTGCTTAATAACACAGTGATTGCTCACCCAGGCCAGCAGGAGCCTCAACCCAGCTTTCTCATCGTGCACTGCCTTGCTCTCCTACTCAGGTCCAAAACTACGGAGGAGTCTTGGAGGAGGAAGACTTCAGCAATTACAGTGTTACAGTGGAGAATCCTGTCCACACGACATACCGAGGTAAATACTGCTGCCTGACCCACTGTCATGCACTTCACCTGATAGGAGGTGACAGTGTAACAGCATCTGCAGAAAAGCCCTCCAGGGAGTTTCCTGCAGTTACCTACTGCAATTGATGCACCAGAGGTGGTTCAGGAGGTTTCTTCTCTTCACAGGTCATCTTGTTTTGAGTCCCCCACCTCCACATGCAGGTCCTGCTCTGATCACAGCACTGAATATCCTCGAGGGCTTTAATATCACAAATCTAGCATCCAGGGGGAATATCTTGCACTGGATTGCAGAGGTAAGAGGAAGGTTAGCATTTGGCTGACTTTGTTGTGCTGCTAGAGAATGATTCATTTATTCCTTAGTTGTAGAAAAATGTTTGTAGGTGATTCCCAGAGGAGAATGAGCAAATAGGCTGCTAAGGCGTAAATCTGAGCTGTGCTGCTCCCTCAGGTAGGTGCAGATGCTGGAGCCCCCTGCTCAGCTGAACTCTATCCATCTTAAGCAGAGCCTTTTCGGAAGACCAGACCGTGGCTTTTGCCCACTTCCTGTATGTGAGAATGACCCTACAGCATCTAATGGTATCCCACTGATTTCTTCCACCTTTTATGCTACAGAGCTTTTGTAGAGGACACCTTGCACAGCACAGGAAAGTTACTGCCTTAGCAAAAATACAGCAACTGGGGGTGTTACATGCTGATAGAACTATGAAGAGGCTGAGAAGGATGACTCAGAAAAGTTATTTTGAGTACTCTCCAGGGAACTTTAAATGAATCTGTTTGTTCTGCATTTACACCTGACAAAGAGTTTCACTCACTAGTTATCATGTCACAGGTGAGGAACAGCAGCCTCCAGATAAAGGGCATTCACTTCAGGACACACCTGATTTCTCAGGATTGCAAAGCTGATCACATTGCTGAGATGCTAAGTCATCCCTGGGACAGCAATGACCAGTATGTCTTTAACCAAAGCCCATGGGTTAGACATATGCTCTGCTTGTTTCAAGGAAGCTCTTCAGTGGCCACCAAGCTGCTTGTACATCCTACCTATGTGTCAACGGTTTACGGGCTGGTTCGGCCCAGTTCCGTGACCAGCGGGGCGGAGGGATCCGCAGATCCGCACCTCCAGAAAAAGGGAACAGGGGACCCCAAAATAATTAAAAACAGCGGCAACGATCTGAGGAGAAACAAACTAATTTACTAAATATAGTATCGGAATGCAAGATAACACACTCTAATACAAATATAATTAAATTTGAAGCTAATAAATCAAATATAATGAGAGAGAATGTCCGAAAGGTGGGTAGGCCTCACCACAACGCGGAGAGCTGAGGTGAGATGCGCAGTCCAGTTGAGCAGCAGGGAGAAAAATGGGAGGAGAGCCGACGAAGAGCAGGCTAAGAAGAGCGCATCAGGTGACCTTGCCAGGAGTTGTATCTCGAGACTCTCTGTGACCGCAAAGTCCCCTGGGGAATGTAGTTGTTCTTCTCTTCCAGGCAGGTACCCAGAGCTTGAGCACCAACAGTTAAAATCCCACTGCCCCACATGATGTTATGATGTGGAATACCGAAAACCAAAAATCACAAAACCATGACACTATGCTATGGTGGTCATGGTTTCATGGAAACACCACCTTGTCCAGAAGTTAATCATGCTCTGAATTGTACATCAGAAGATAAAGTATGGCATTTGAAGACTGGTTGTTGATGAGCAGTGCACATCAAAATGGAAATGAGCTCTTTTGAAACTTGAATGAAAATGGCATGACCTGAAAACTGACAGTCTTGTGCCATCCCGGAGGAAACAAGCCCAGAACCCATTTTCCCACTGGGATTTGGTGTTGTGGTGATCACTTAGGAACAGAAAGAAAGAAAGAAAGTAGCATGCTGGCAATCCTGTCTGCCAGCCGGCAATACTGCTGACCCATAGCTGGGCTAAGCCAACTGGAAAACACTGCCTGGAAGGTGGAATGTAGACAAATACTACTTGATACACTTGCCTCTCCCTTCATTCAGTTTGCCATGAAAATCTGACCCCCTTTGAGCCCCATGCCCATGTGTGGCAGCCCTTTTCACTGGGGTAGACATTTGAGTTCATAGGCTTTGGACAACATGGTGACAGAGCAGGTACCTCCTGTTTGGAGTATCAGAAGTGATATTTTCAGTACCACCTAAATGATGTCCTGTGTCTCCTTTGTGTGTTCAATTTAGACATTAAAAATCGCTCTGAGTCTAGCTAGCAACTTGGGAGACCCGTCCGATGATGCATCCATCGTTCATGCTGCAGAAGGCATGTTGAGGTAGGTCTGAGGCTGATGGGCACGTTGGTGGTTGCAGTGTGTGTGGTTTGGGTATCATTCCTGGATTTCCTCTTTCCTGCACACAAGGAAACCTGAGTTTTTTCTATTTCTTTTTTACTGAGGAAAGCTCCGTCCTCATGCTCACTCTCCCATGAGGATCACAGCTGATACCACAGGGCTGTGGAGATGAAACATAGGATGTCCTCACACAGAGGTCCTGCTTAGTCTTGAGGGTTCCTCCCGCTTTCTGATCTCCCTGTTTTCCATCTCAGGGGGTCAAACAAGCTGCCTTTGCAGCACACCCAGTGGCGTAGGAATGGCCAGGCCTGGGACTGCAGCCCAGCCTCCTGCAGAGCCAGTTTTAACCACAGCTGGTGGACAGAGCTGGATCTGTCTCTCCCTCCTCTGCACACAGGGAACCAGCAGTCAGTCAGTGGTGACACCTCTCATCTCCTGGTTCATGTCCATGGGTAGAGCCTGGGAGGTTGGTGGCTGTGGGCAGAGCCATCTCATCTCCTGCTGGCTGAGCGGGGTGGTTCCTGCCTGCAGTGCCAGGCTCCACAGGAAAGCAATCCTGTGGCTGTGTAAATGAACCCCTCACCAAGAGACCAAGAGATATTTGGCCTCCTGCGCTCATCGCTTTCTTTTTTCCTTCCCTTCCTCACCGCTGAAGTAAATCAGAAGCTGATTCCCTGCGCCAGCTGATAAATGAGTCCCAGCCCTTCTCATCGGATCTCCGCCTGCCTCACTTCTCTGTGCAGAGCGGACCTGCTGCCAGCCAGGTTCTTGTCATGGGGCCCGATGACTTCATTGTTGCAGTTGTAAGGTAAAGGATTTACTCCTCTTCACAACGTCAAAGGATGGGAGCGGGGAGAAGAAAGCAGGTTCAGCAGGGCAGGACAGAGCCAGACCCGGAGTGCTGTCAGGTGGAGCAGGAGCTTCGCTCCCACACAACCCAGCCCAGAGCTGCGGTGTCCAACATGCTGCACTGGCCCACGGTCTTCCTCCAGAAACCCCGAAGGGGAGAGACTGCACTTTTTTAGGCAAGATTTGTAGTCACGTGAGACGTTTTGTGTGGATCCTTACAGTAAGAATGGCATTCCCAAAGTCGCTGGAGCGTGGGACTGCTCCAACAGCCCTGCAGCAGGAGGAGTGGAGAAGCTGGGGTGGAGCTGAGAAGGCTGTGGGGTGCTGCTCCACACTGTGCAGCCCTACCAGCGCTACCCATGGCTCTCACGTGTCTTGATTGGCCTGGCTCTGCTCCTAGAGAGGTTACAGATGAGTTCAGCAGAGTGGAGGCAGACCCACCACCTGGGGGGAATCTTTGAATGCAAGGAGGGATTGATCCCCTGTCACCCACATGGTTACAGTGCCTGTTCCTAAATACATGGAGACTTCCACTGTGCACATCGTAAAAAACCATGGCAGACTCTCTGTCAAGCCAAGATGGGACAGAAAATTGCATCATTAAAGGCCTCAATGTGTAGACTGTGAAAAATTTTATGAGATTTCTTCTCATCTCTTTTCAGTTCTTTGAATCGTCCATTTGGTAGTGGAATAATGACACCCTCTGGAGTGCTCCTGAACAGCCAGATGTTGGACTTCTCCTGGCAAAACAAAACAACAAACCACTCCATTCCCAGGCCGGTAATGAACAGCACAACAAATTATTTATTTGAGCTGCCTGCACTATTCTGATTAATTGCAATCCCATCTCCACAGTGGTGAGGTTGTTAATAGCTTAGAGAGAGCTGTCTATAGAAAGCTCCTATCTTTTCACTATATGAACTGCTGAAATAGAGTAAGCAGGAGGCTACATGTGCATCAGTTATCACTATAATTCGGTCTTGTCAAACAGCACAGCACAGCTGTGCGTCACAGGTAGCTATTTTTCCTGTAGCACAGATGTGCTTTAGAGCAATTGTCCTCTGGGGACTTGAATTAATAACTAATTATGAATTATTGCTCTGCAGATTTTAAGGAAATAAATGGTAGAAGAAAAATCTTCAGGTCTTTGAAAGAAACAATTACAGATCGGTACTGGTAGCATCTAGAACTGCCTTGTTGATTCTTCTTGCCATGTATTGAAAAATTGTCCCAGTTTTCTGTGTTGGTACACTAGGAATGGATAAATGGCTCTGTATATCTTCTGTAAAAAAAGTTTTGAGAGCATGAAACAGGCTGGGTCCTGTTAATTTCAAAGAGCATGACGACAACAGTGACAATAACAGCCTTATAAAACTGCACAGGTGCAATTGCTGGCTCCCCTGGAAGGAGAAAGAAGTTAACAAGCACAACTCCTTGCTGAATGTTTTTGGTACATCTTTCCTGCAGCAAAATCTCATTCAGCCTCGGAAACGGCCACTGTCTTTCTTGTTGCCCACCATTGTGAGGCCATCGGAGGGGATGTGTGGGACGTACCTGAGTCTGGGAGCAAACAGTGGGGACAAAGCCTTGAGCGGCATCGTTCAGGTCAGTGCCGTGCCCGGGTGCCCACCTCCTCATGGAGCTGCAGGGTCCCCTCTTGCAGCATAAACTGTGCATCCTGATGTTCTAGACTGTGTGCCTCTGGTAGCTCTTTTTACCTTTTGAAAAATGCATTTTGGTGTGTCCAGACTAAATTCTACCCTGCTCAGCATTCACTACATACTGGGGAGCTCCTCATCATTTATAATTTGTAACTGAGTGAAGCATGTGCCAGTAGCTTCATTATTTGAGCAACAGTACCATATTATTAAAAATAAATTTGGTTCCTGTCTTCCTTATCTAAGAAGGCATCATTCAGGGCAAAATTAAAGCCAACCATTGCTTCCTTATGCTTTGTTAGAAGTCACATGCTGATATTTTGGCATAAAGAAATACATTTTTAGATATTATGTCATGTTCCAGACTAACAACTCTCCTAATTTAGCAAGAACTGTGTGACAAATTGCCCATGTGAGCCTGAAATGTACCATTTTTCCAACAACAATATACAGGCTGTATTTCAAGGTTCTCTTCACATTGTGAAAGCCCACATTAGTTCATGCAGTTTGGCAAAAAGTTCACGTTATTCTTTGCCTGTCGTATTTGCAGATGTTGGAGCTACAAGTAAGGAGGATGCTCAGGAAATTCACTTTTCCTGTTCTCTTTACATTTTTATTATTTGGGGTCTTTTATTCTCATGCAGGTCTTGGTAAATGTATTAGCATTCAACAAGAATCTGAGTGAAAGTTTGTCTCTTGGTCGTCTTCACCCGCAGCTTCAGTCCAACACCTTGCAGGTTGACAGTGAGTATGGGCAGAGGGCGGTGCAGCCTGTGAGTCCGGCGTGTGTAGGAGAGTGGCAGCACTTCCTTGGGATCCTGCCACAGAAATGTGACAGCCCAGTGCAGAGCTTACCAAGCTGTAGGATCCTTGGTGGTTCAGAGGTTTGGGGGCAGACAGAAAGTGGCAGCCTTGCTTCTTGAAAGCTTGGAGACCGTGCTGAGCCATGCTGTCGTCTGGGGAGTGCTCCCTCACCTCCCCACCACCACCTGTCCAAATTCTTTTAGGTGCTCCTCTGTCCCAGCCCACCTCCTAGCAGCAGCATTGTCCTTTCCTGAAAACCTGTCAGCTGATATATTATATCACTGTGGATATCCAAATAAAAAACCACTGCAATCATATCTTCACCCAAACAGATCCCAAAAGCTAGGAAATATTCACACACATTATTACTACTCCCATAAATACTTTTTGTTCACTTTCCATTCTTGAATCCCAGCAGATGGGGAGCAGGCAAGGCGCAGGACAAGGCTGTGATCTTACAGTGCTGGAAATTCAGCATCAGTCTGAGGCAGTGGAAACCGCACTGTCAGCTCTTGTCCTTGTTACTGCAAGCCTTAGTCTATTTGGTGTTTTTCACGAAGATCCATATCTTACCAGAGTGAACATAAGAGAATTTTGGTTCTCATTATACACACAAAAAATAGGAAACTTTCTAGGCCTTCCTATTCAGGAGGAAAATGTAAAAATGGCTGTGAAGTGTGTTCCACTAGCTTGAAAACTAAAATGTAATTAAAACAAATCCAGAACTTCAAAAAGCCCTGATTTGTAGATTTGGGTGTTCAATATCAACAAGACTGTGTTAAGATACATCTACAATGCTTAAATCACTGTGGTGTTTCTGTGTGTCTGCTGGATTTGTCCATCTGCTTCCCCTGCTCTGTATCCTCAGGCACTCCTATTTATATGGAAATTAAAAAACACCAAATAAACAAAATAAGAGCAGAAGAGCAAACAGCCCAAGGTTTATCACATTCTAATTGACAAAGTTTGTCATTTGCCAGCCTGTGTTGTTTTAAGTTGCTTTGCATCTTATTTTGATGAATGGCTGTTAATACTGTCACTTGTATCAGAACTCTTCAGAGCAAGGGCTGCCCTTTGTTCGGTAAACAGAGTAACTAGGATGGGTGCCAGCAATGTCTTTTTCCCTTTTCAAAGAGGACAGTTTTCCACGTATTTAAATGATATCCTGGATCTTCTCCTTTCCTCCCCTGCACAGATCATTGCCCAGCTCTGAGCAGCCTTTGCTGCTGAGGGTGTGCTTGGCAGGGCAGTGAAGGCTGGACCTCCTCAGCCTCCTCACCTGATCCGGGACACCTCCTCAAGAGGCCACAGGCAGTTTCATACACTCTGAAGATCCCAACAGGGTTAAGACAGACCTTTGCATCAAAGGCAGCAGTGGTTTCAGTTACAAACCCCTCTTTTAAAATCCCTACAGGTGAATTTCCTGAAGAAGACATTGAATGTCTTGTAGCCAGGGGCCATGAAGTGGATAAAGTCAAAGTGCTCTCCCTGGTCCATGGGGCCAGGAGAACCAACAGTTTCATCATCGGCTTGAAGGACCCCAGGAGCGTGGATGCTGCTGGAGCCACAATACTGTAGCACCTCTCAGACAACTTATTCACTGAACAAGGCTTTAGACAGATCAACCCAAGTGATGTGCATGTTCTGAAATGGTCCCCTCCTGCTCCCCAGCGTGGGATCACTGCATACACACACATACATCTACACTGCTGAGCAAACGTCCTGCGTTCCCTACCCTGGATGACACAGGAGGCGTTAACGGTGCCATTATAACATCTCTCTGATTTTTTTTTTCTTTTAAAATAATTTGAATTGCAAGCAGCTCAGTCACTGTTATAGGATCACAGGGAGTTTTCTTTTGGCACCATCTTATCATTCATTTCAGTCTTTTCAAAAGTCCAGCTCTAGCCAAGTACATAATTTTAGTGAGCAGCAACATTAGCAAAGGAAACAGTGACTGTAAAAAACAGCTGCTGATAACACTGTAATCTTCATCTTCTTTTCTTTCCCAATTTCATTATTTGCCTCTTGTGTAAGTCAGCAATTAATGCATCCTAATGTAATGTTTGTAGGTGTCTGTAGCTGGAATATCAGGGCATCCTTTAATGTCGTGTATGGGCCAGCTGGTTTTTACCAGCGTGCAGCTTCCTGTGTTAGATCCTTTTCTCACATCCCTACAAACCTGGAATTTTTGGAGTATTTTGAATCACTTCTTTGTGCAGACTCATTGGAGTCCAACTTTGAACCAGTCTGCCTCTTCACTGGCAAATGAGGACCCCAAATTCACTGCTTTTGTTCCCAAAAGAAGCTGTCCCACCATGCATTTTGTAACAGAAACAATTTCAACTTTTTCGACTTTTAACAACTGGTGGACCCCCCCAATAATTTTCTCACAGTTTTCTGGCTTCCTCTGCAGAGATTTTAAGCTTAGTGATAATGGGCTTATTTTTCTTAGATACTTTTTGGAGATATCTTCAAAGTACTCTGCAGGCTTGTAAGAATCCATGGAGCACAGACTGAAAACTGCATGGAAACAGTTGAGGTAGATTCAGGGCTTTCCTTACACTGCCTTATGTCAGCCTGCTGTGAAAGCCTAAGTTGTATAATCCCTACAGAGAGGCTTAGGTTTTTCTGCATGCTAAATTTGCGGCTGTACTTCAGCTCTGGTGGCTCTATTGGAAAAGCTGTGGAGAGAGAAAGGGTCCAATGCAAAGCAAAGACCATTGAGATAATTTTCTGTCTGTAACAAGGAATACAGAATATAAGAATACCTCTGCATTTCTTGTCTGAAAGAGAATGGAGAAAATACCACATCTCTTTGCTGCACCATTTAATTCAATCTGCCCTGGAATGTTTCCTTCTATTTTTTTTAACTAACAAGTTAGAGAGAAACCCTTGGCTGTAAAAAATTCTGGAATCAGATACATTTCCACAGCAATGATTTCCTTCACATTGCAAATATGTCAATGGCTGCTGCACGTATTCCACATGTGTGTCTGCCTATGGCTGCCTTGGCATGCCCCTTGGTGACACAGCTGCCCCAGCCTTCCTTCCAGGGGAGTCCCACAGACACTGGTCCACATGTAAGTGCTGTGCCCACACAGACTGGCACAGGGTGCAGGGAGCAGGCAGGGTGCTTGGAGGTGGTCAGAAAACTATCAGAGAGAATTGGATTAATTGTTCCTGACACCTACCGGCTGAGTGTCCCAAAGCATCTTACAGTCTTGCACATTTTGCTGTGGGAGGAGTGCTTTTCTGCTTTGCTGAAAGGCAGCCAGCTAAAGGCAGCCACTGGCAGACATCAAAGCCAACAGTTCTTTCTGTTAGGAGACACAGAATTATAGAATGGCCTGAGTTGAAAAGGACCACAGTGCTCATCCAGTTCCAACCCCCTGCTATGTGCAGGTCGCCAACCACCAGACCAGGCTGCCCAGAGCCACATCCAGCCTGGCCTTGAATGCCTGCAGGGATGGGGCATCCCTCTGACCACATCAGTGGCCTCAGCCAAGAGATGGGAAAATTATGGTGTTACCTTTGGGAAGTTGTGTCCTCTGTCACCAAACTGCCCCTAAGGTGAGAGCAGTCTTTCGTCACCAGAAGGACCTCGGCTCATTTATTTTTCTGTCACAGGCACTAGAAATGGCACTGCCCAAAGCTGGAGCATTCATAAAACATATGGTGTCCTGGAGCTGGCCTCCCCAGGTCAGACAGCAAGGAGAGCATATGTTTGCGTGCACTGAATCACAGGTGAAAATTTGGGAGTTTCTGGTAAAGGACAGCAGTGATCTGTGCCTCAGACATGGCATGGTATGAGCACAGCTCAAAGCGATCAGATAACTGATGCTACAATACTTAGCACGGAATACTGCAGAACACTTTGAAAGAACATTCCTTTTTATTCCTTCAATTCTTTTCACAAAGTCACTTCTGATGCCAAAAACTGCATTCATTTGTGAGCTGAAGACTCTGGTTTTGAACTGAAATGGGCTTATATATCCCAAGGTGTGATTTCAGAGCAATTATTCAGAATCTTAAAATAAAGCACGTTCCTAAGTGCCCTGCTGTCTCTCTGGCTTATGTTACAAAAAATACTGTTTAGTAGTGGAAGATACTTTGAATTATTCACCATTTCCTCTGTTTAAAAATGGCATCAGTGTCACACAGCCATATTCAGTACTGAAACCTTTAATCAGCTAATTGGTCCTGTGTCTCTGGTACTGCAAGTCAATCTGTTGTGATGAGACCTAATGAACTTAGTTTGTGGCACCAATAAACACCTGATGTTTCCATATGTATGGCTGAGACAGACTGTGAAATAAAGGGCCATATTTTGGAGATGTGTGGGCACAGTATCTGCACTGATTTCAAGCCAGCTATTGCAGACATCTAACTACTCTGAAGCAGAATTCTCCCAAAACTTATACATCCAAGTGTCTGAGGTGCTCAGAACACAAAGTATGAATTATAGGATGGCTGAGAAAAACAGTAAGGAAGATAAGAATAAAAATAACAAAAAATAATAAGAATAAAAAATAAGATATGCCTTTGTCAAATATAACTACTGTGGTCTTGAAAGCCATCTGTTTGTATCTGTCCCCATTTGTTTTGCTCTCCACTAACATGCACAGTTTTTATACATTGGGATAAGCTGAAAACAGGGCCTGGAATTAAGTGTCAGCTCAGCTAGGCAGAGATTTCTTACAATGGCTCAATGCCATTCATGAGTGCAGTTATCAAGCACTGCTTCGCTAGCTGCAGATGCTTCTTTTTGCCTATGTGTGTCAAGCCCAGACCGGTGCACGTAGAGGCCTAAAGGAGAGATAAGGCTGAGGTCGGCATCTGGGGCCAAGGATGCTCTGGGCCCTGTTGCAGTGCCATTCTGTTCACCTCATTTTCCTGCTGGATGCCTGGACACGAGGACAGGATGGAGCCTGTGCTGCTCCCATCAGCTCCCACCAAAGGAAACACTGCTGAGCTCCGTGGGGTGGTCAGTCTGCTGCTGGTGGTGCCTGGTGTGGGGAAGGGCTGGAGAGCTGAACCTCCTGCTGCCCAAACCCCGTGTGCCTCAGGGCTGGGGGCTGCGAGGGGCCTGCAGGGCAGAGCAGCCATAGGCAGGGCAGGAGGCTCTGGTCCCCAGCCCTAGAGGTGGAAATCTTGCTCTGCCCTGTGCAGTGCTGCCAGCTTCTGCCTGAGGGTCCCCCAGACCCTGTTCTATTTTGTGAACAACAGTATTTATTATGCATCAAAAACACTATGGATTTTGCAAGGTTTTAGGAAGAACTGGGTGGAGTGAGAAGAGCTCTTGCAGCACATGTGTGATTTCATACCAGCAGCCTGGAAAAGAGCTTCCCTACTTCAGTGCTAGACATCTATCTGAGTGTTGGTCAGAGAAGGGAGAGGTCTAGCAGGCAGAGTCAGCCTCCAGAGAGGCAGGGATCTGATGGAAACCAAAGAGACCTGTGTGCAGGGCAGACGGCACGGCAGGGCTGGAGAGCCAAAGCATGCTGCCCACGAAGGGCCCTCCAGTGGCCAGAGCATCTTTAGATGCAGATGGTCAGGAGTTGAGCCTGCTGTCCAGCACACAGTCCTGTGTGACCACGGCTGCTTGCCAGTCTGGCCCTTCCTACTGGTTTCAGGCCACAGGGTCTGGCCCTGAGTTCTCCACAAAGGCATGGAAATGCTGACAGCCAAGTACCCCCACCCTACCCACCAGCACTGCAGCCATCTGCCCACCTCTCTGTCACCACACTCACAAATTAACACAATCCTAGATAGCTACAGACTGGGATCAAAAGTAGATACAAGGAGAGCATGGCAGGTCTTCTCTCTAAGTGAGCCCTATGCTAGTATTAGAAATCATTCCATCCAAGTCAGCATTTAAGTTTAGGGAATCTAAAACTAGCCATGAGTACACCTTTTCTATACAGCATTTTTCCTTTTAAAATACTGCCATATAGGAATTATAACCATAATCTTGACTGTCTGGCCTGAAAACCCCCTGGTCCCGCTCATGGTGTGCAGAGGCCAGCTTTACATGGCCTCTCACTCATATTAAAGCTATTTCCACCTCTTTGATAGAATGGGATTAATCTTGACTGTGTGTTGGACTTTTTCAAGTGCGCAGAAGCATAAGATAAAAAGCCACCAGAAGGGGCGTTATGAAGCTCCAAATGGATGTGCAAGGCAGCGAGCTGCTGGTGAAAAAAGGGCTTTTTGCAGATCCCAGGTGACCTGCACACAGCCTCCCAGCTCCACGTAAGAAAGTTACAGCACTCAGACAGTCAGAGCAAACCTTAACGAGATGCACCACTACTGCACTGCCTGAAATCTCGGTCTTGGGAGAATAATGCCATTGCTTGCTGTACTTCACAAGATGTGCCCTGTGTTAATATAGATAATATAAAGACAAGGGAAAAAAAAAAAAAAAAAAAAAAAAAAAAAAAAAAAGGATAATCTTCTAATTTTTAACGAGGATTTGGGAGGAGGATTTTTGAGAAGAGCATTCTGATCTGTGTGCTGGGTAGGGGAACACATTCTGGGGAAGATCAAGCTGATAAGGGGAGAAAGTTAAATGCACGTGGGTAAAGAAGTGCCTCCAGAAGAAATTATGGAGATGAGGAAGGAAGGCAGGTACTTCTCAGATACTGAACAAGACTTTCAGCTTCCTCTTGCTTCCAGCTCTAAAGACATGAGCAGAGTAAGACAAAGACAAACACCTCATGTGAAAGGCTCCCAGCAAGCAGAAACTCCCTGGCAGAAAACCAAATGTGCCACTGCTCTTTGCTGCCAACATGAGGCTGGTGCCCCATCTCACCTCCTGACACTCCTGAGGACCTTATCAGGATCTGGGAGAGTTTCTTCCCTGCGACTCTGACTCACAAGGCTTCAGACTGGGAAGGGAGCTCTGGGACATAGGTGTACCCCAGCCTGCCACATGCTGGCCCCAGCATCAGGGTAATGTCCCAGCAGGAATCCCAAGCCACCAGCGCAACTGCAAGCCATGCAGTTGCTCACATCTGAGTCCGTGCATCAGATGCTGCAGATCTCAGCTGTGCCCATTGTCTGCCGCCTCCCCCAGCCCCGTCCTTCACGACCCCATGCCCCCATGTTTCTTCCCAGACCTCTGTGTGCCTCTGAGGGGAGAGGCAGCATGAGGGCTGTGCAGGAAGCTCCCACACCTCAGGCGCCGGGGCAGGTGTGCATGGAGAGAGAGGCACGAGCAGAAAAACTCTTTAGCAAAGAATTGCTGAACATTTTCCTTCAGCAGGGAGTATTTGAGCTGCCAATGCTGCATAAACAAACAGCTTCCTTGCAGCTTTCCACACACCAAAAATACTTGGTATAAGCATCGGTCATACAGTAACCATGGTGTTTTGTTTTCTCATGGAATGGATTCATATGTCCATTTAAAAAATTCCATTTTTTTTTTCCTGTATTGTCAGCTCTAGCAACAAATGAGAAGTGGGACAGCTGCATTTAAAAGGTTTTGCAAAACAAATGTTTCCTCTTTTCATGCCATTGCTGTGGGTATCAGGGCTGTGCCTGTGGCTGCACCCAGTAGTGAGCTGGGGGCCGTGCACCCCTGGGAGCACAGCAGGACCTGTGTTGCTATGCCAACGTATGGACTTCTGAAGGACCAAAGGCTGTATTTTCACAAAGGACTTCTGATTATTTTATTGGCCTTACACAGCAACTGCCATGTGCTTCTTTTGTTTATCAGTGGAAGATGGTTGCTTTTCAATGAAAGCAGTGACCGGCAGAAGAAAATCTGACGTTTCTGCAGCAGCACTGATGTGGTACAACCTCAGCATTCCCCACGTGCACTCAGGTTTGCAGGATATGATGTGAACTCCTGGGGATTTCGGTGGGAATACAGGAAAAACTTCAGAGCAGCAGCTGTGGAGCAAGATAAACAGCATGAGAACCAAGGACACCTCTAGAAGAAGAAAGAACGTCTGATGGCTCTGACTGGATAGGCGCCTGCATGAACAGTTGAAGAGTGTTTGCAGAATGCTCTGCTGGCATGTAAAGGTGGATGGGGAAGTTGTAGGGGCGGATGGGAAAGCTAGAAAAAGAAAAGTTGTGAAAGTATATAAGTGATGTGGGAACTTGTGATAAACAATTTGGATCGTTCACATCTGGGTCCGTGCATCAGACGCTGCAGATCTCAGTGCCCCGCGTGCTAAATCCTGCCAAACGGCCCCTGCGTGCCCCCTGCTCTTCTCAGAGACCAAGCACTCTCTGTTATTCCAAAGTATCATCGTGTTCTAGCAGTGCTCCGCACGGGTCCTTCGCTGTTGGGTTTTTATGACTCCATCCAGGAAACCCCTTTCCTCCCAGCCGCGCACGGCCTGGCTCCCACCGCTGAGCGCCGTGCTGCTGGAGCGGAGCGGAGCCGCTGCCTCGGCCACGGCGCCGGGGGCTGCACGGCAGCTCGGCGGCCGTCCCGGTCCCAGCCGCCTTTTAAAGCGGGTTCCCCAGAGCAGGTCGCACGGGAAAACACTCGGGCGGGTTTGCGTATCTCCCGAGGAGGCCCCGCCACCCTCCGCGCAGGGCTCGGGCACCCGCACGGAGCTCTCCTCACCGGCGGCGGTCGGTGCAGCCGGCGGCTCCGGGCAAAGATGGCGGCCGCCCCCCGGAGCGTCCCGCGGGCAGCGGACCCGGCTCCGGCAGCGCCGCGGGCGGGAATCGCCGAGGCCCCGCGGGCCCCTGGCGGAAGGCGGATCCCCGCCGCCGGCGACGCGGGCCGGGGCCGTGCGGGGCCGCCGGCA